CAAAATATAAAAAAAAATGAAAAACAAATCATAAAAACACATCAGAAAATTTGTACTCTTCTTTCTTCTAGTCCTATTAGTAGCTAAAAAAAAGAATAAATACATTTATATAATGCTTTCAATTTTATATTTTATAAAAGTTGAATTATTACACATTAGCATTACAGATACCCATCAAAATGGTTTTTTTACAATGGAATTTTTTTTATTATTTATATTAATGTTACGGGATATTCTTTTATGTCTTCCCTCCGCAAATATATATAAATTATAAATTCAAAATATTTATTATTATTACAAAAATACCGCCTCCCGTTTGTGTCTGTTCTTAAAATGCCGAAACAAAACTATAAAATATTCCAATTTTTTATTAATTTTTTTATGCCCTTTGGGGGAATAAAAAATTTTTGGGTGTTTTTTAAATCGTAAATTTAGTATATAAAATATTCACTTTTTTTATAGAATAATATAAAAAAGAGACTTGTGCGAAATTTCAGAAAAATTTAAAGCTTTGTTCGATCCGGGTATTTTTAATTTTAAGCCCAACTCGTATTGTTTAAATTTTGATGTATATACAGCCTAGCCAAGAATATTGAATAGTTCTGACCTGGCACATAGTCAGGAATTTTCTATGGAGGTGGGAGGGGGGGGGGGGTGGATAATATTTTTAATATTCAAATGCTTTTATTTGGAACATTAAAAATTTATTAGAACCAATCATATTTTAAAAATGACAATTATGACCACAAATAATCAAATATTGAAAAAACAACAAAATATTTAATATTGTTAAAAAATATTATATAGCTATATATTCCAATATGTAAATCACAATAAAAAATAGAATTAAACATTATATGATGATTTAAAAAGTTAATCAAAATATCATTCACAAGAAATTTAATATTTTTTGCGCAATTTTTTAATAATTTGTTTTGTAATTGAGGATTAAAACTCTATCTATATTAAGTAAAGCTAGTTCAAAATTGATTTTTTGATGTCGTACTTTCAGGATAGAGTTTTATTTCCCATAATGAAGAAAAGGTCCTCTCATTTATACCTTTATTAATAGTATGATGTATTGTTGCCAAAATATCAGTGTTGTTCTATAGAGCGATAATTTTTTCAGTAGCGATTTAGCGCGCTACTTTTAAAAAAAATAGCGGAGGTAGCTTGCTAATAATTTAGAGAGTAGCGAAGTAGCTCATAAAAATTGTTAAAATATATTTAGAATTAATTCTAAAATCATAATCTTTTGATTTTATTTTATTTTGAAATTTATATTTAAAAATCTGCATTCTAAATCTAGTTTTCAAAATAATATAAAATTTCGACGATAGAAATTAATATTGAAGATAATTGGTATAGATATTATCGAAGTAATTTCCCTGGAAATGATTAATATGGAATTTCCTTTTTTCTGAATTAGCAAAATGTTTTAATCTCGATAAAAAAAACACAGGGTATAAATTTTATTGTAAGATGTACCGGAATCAGGCGCGAAAGAATGGGGGGACCAATGCAAATTTGCCTGTTCTCGCAAATATCATTTTAAGCCAATAAATTTACCCCCCTCCCTCCACTACACATCCCCCATCCCCTTCTAGAAAATAAGACAATATATCATTATATGAAAGAATTTGAAAAAAAAATTAATAAAAGTTAATAACTATTAGACTATAAATTAAAATTTTTAGAAAAAAAGCATTTTAGTAAAAAAAAATGTGAAAACCTAAAATTATTTTTATAAAAATATAATATAGCCAAAGGCATACAATAAGTGGACCTTAAGATTTCCAATAAAATTTATGGGAAAAAATTCCACCTAATACTGCTTCCCCCTAACAAAATCCTGGATATGTGGCCGAATTTATCATCAAACAAGACTAGTATCTTCAACGAGGAGACATTTAAAGTAATATATTAAACAAATCTAATATCAATATGTATAGCCCAATTCTTAATCGTTAAAAAAAATTGAATCAAAGCTATATCTATAATAGTCTTTGATCTAGATAAGTTTATGTGAAAGTTTATTTTCTGGACCAGTCCAAACATGATATGTTTTAACTGGCCATAAGATATTAATTAATGATTGTATTAAAAATTACAATAAAATAATTCATAATAACATTATATCATTTTATCATCCTACTCATATATTTATTGATAATATTTTATAAATTATTATCTGGATGTTAAACATGCTTAAAATTATCCATTCATCTATTTATATATATATAAATTTTATCATAACATGCTAAAAATTACTTATTTCAATCTTTTCACATTTAAACCAATTTTGAGAAAAATTGGTTCAATAAATAAAAAATTAAAGATTGGTGGCCTGGGTATTTGTCAAACATAGTCATCCACTTATCCTCTGCATAATTTTTATTCTAACTATTGCTATTATAATTTTAGACTGACCCTAGCCGGATCAAAAACGCCAATTACTATGGATGATTTTTTTGAAATAAATAATAATACTATTGAATACCCTTTGAGGCATTTTTTTAAATCTAAAACTACTCAAATGAAGATATGGCCTTCAGATACATTTATATGCTGTGAATAAGATTTAACTAAATATTCAATTTCAATATCAAGATTTAGTAAAGACCGATTTCTGTAATAGTTTTGCAAATTGGCTAGAGCCATTTGATAAATCACAAATCGTTCATGAATTTGAGTAAAAAATGTGTCCAAAAGTGGAATAAAAATGGTCATTTTTATAGTAATCATCAATTAAGCCCTTGTTAATATTGAAACAATTGTTTGTCTAGGTGCAAGCCTAGGTTGACGAATTTCTAAATCATATAATTTCGTTTTCGCTTTATTATAGCACAATTTGGTCGATATTATCTCTCAATTTTCTAAGTTGTAATATAATAATATTCTTATAACCACAGCCAAATCTATATTCTTTTTTAAAAAAAATATTGCATAAAATTGTTGTGTTTGATATCTTTATTGTGTATGCGTAATTGGATCCTATCATAAATAACTTGTTCAATTTTTTGAGAATTTCCTATATTATATATAGATTTAGTATTTTGTTAGATATTAAACTTAAAATACGAATAAATAAGCTTTTTGTAATTAATCAAAATATTAGCTTGAAATTAAAAAAAATAACATCAAAACTTTGAAGGCCTATTAAAATTTTATAAAATAAAATACAAGGCCCTGCTTAATTTTTTGTGTATAAATTGTACCGCCAGCCCGAAAATGTATTATGTCCGAATTGGTCCGGCTCCAGTCCTCTAAACTTTTGCCAAACCCATTATGATTAAATCCAAATAATTTAGATCGATGATTTCTTTTGAATAAAAATTATGCTTAAAATTATTCTTTATTTTATTTGTATTTTTATATTAAGTAGTTTTGTCTTAATAAATATTTGATTATATCTTATTTCATACTATACTATATTTTGTAGTGTTATTTAACAACTCTATTTGAGCCAATGTTTTAAAACGGCTAATACAATATTACAAGCCTTAAAGATGGCACAAAGGTTTGGACATCTATTAATGGAATCTTAAGGCTCAGGCAATATTTTTCTGTCAAAAATATTGAGTTAGCCGTTTAACAATATTAATATGTTTTAAATTTTATTATTAAAAATAATTTTTTCTCTTATGTTATACCGAAATTTTTTTTAGTATAATAAATAAACTTTTCGAAAATTCATTCACTGGTATCACAATTATAAAGCAAAGAAAACATTTACAAATTGTTATTAGAATAATGTTAAAGATATGAATAAATAAATTTATAATAATAAATATGCATAGTCGCAAAGAGTAACAGAACAGACACATGTTTATGAGAATTTTTTTGCGGGTAGCACTCAACGATGATGCTAATTTTTAATTATATGAAACTTATTAATTATCACACATAGTGTAATTGCCTTAACCCATATCGCTGGAGAATAGGTTGAACATTCTTATTTAGTTTATATTAAGTCAAAATTAATTCTACAAACTTTGGCTATTAACATTCAGAAAATATTCTACGTGTTCATTAGTATAAAGAATAAATTGTCGTAAATAATTAATTTGTATAATATTCGTACATTTTTTTAAAATATTTAATTTTAGTTTTTAATTTATATTTAAAATTGTAAAACCTCGGTTGGAGGGGGGGGATTATCTGGGGGTTGGTCCCAAATGATCCAGATACCTGCATATATTAATCTTTAATTTCAAATTAAATCACCTTTTATAAAAGTCGACACGACCAATGAAGATTTTTTATCCGGGCCCATAAATTTTTTACTAGGTCCATAAAATAATTTTTTATGAAGGAAAAAGACATAAACTTTCTAAATTCCAAGCTTAAAAAATTTTAGCCAAATTATCTCTGGTCTCATAAATTTGGGTTTGGGTCAGGTCAACCCTCTACATTGATACCGCCTCACTTTCTATATTTATCAAACTGTAAACCTGCATATAAATTCTTTATAGAGGCTGCACTGAATTTTCAAAACTATAACCAATTAATACATATTAATATATTTCTAATTTTTTAAATATAAAATATAATGTATAGATTTATTTATAATAAATCAAATTTCACACAAAATTTTTATTTTGAATAAATAATGTAAAATTGAAATATATTAAAACCAAAATTATACAGTAATAAATCTACACAGCGAATAGCAAAAGCACATACAATTCATAAATAAATATACATTAAAAAAATATAAAATTTATTATATTATAATATAATATATAATTTTCTTTGTCGGCATTTGGTAAAATAAAATCTTTGACGCTGTTGTTGGTCGGCGAAATATACATAAAAAAGGAAATTAAAATAAAATCCTAGACAAAAGAATTTCTTTTATTTATTAATATTATTAATAATATTTTTAGAAAATATCTAACAAATAATAAATATTATAGATAAATCATTTTTTAGGATTTTCTTTTTCTTTTTTTGTATTCTAGTATTTTTAAACAAAACAAAAAAACACATATTGAATATATAATTTTTTGGTTTTATAAATAAAATATTATTATGTTATAATCTTAAAAAAAATATCATTAAAACAATTAAATATTAGTGAGCAAGATAAGCTCTAGATTATTAAAAAAGAATTCCATTTGAAAGGAAAGGATATATTGGATGAAATTCATATACATATACGCTATTATTCCTCATTTATTTTTTAAATTCACCACAACAGGTATATTTATTCTAGTGTGCTTTTACCTTATTTCTGGTTTGCTAGAAACCAAATTTTATTTTCTTAGAAAATAATTTTGCTTATATTATAAATAATAAAATGATAAGTTTAGAAATTTTTTGTATACCAACTCACTTTTAAATTTTTGTTAATAATTTTATCATTTATAAATATATAATTAAGTCAAAACCGAAAATTTGATAATAATAACTATTTTTTTTAAATATATTAGAACCCAGCAAGTCTGCTAGAAATCGGACTAGGGACTAAAAAATTGGAACGGGCTTGGGCTTTAAAATATAAAAATAAAAGGATATAATCGGAATATCTCTGAGATTTGGAAGGACAAATCAATTATAGAGATTTTATTTTACATTATAAAAATGCATCTTATTTATATTTTTAAATAAAAATTATGAGTTGCAACTGGATCAGGCTTAAATTTTGATCTGTAGGCTCAGGCCTAAAAAATAAAAAAATTGACCATTTTAAAAATATATTAGTCTTTCAATCAAAATGAATCTCCTAACCGTAAAAAAAGACAAAGAAGAAATAGAAAGAGAAAAAATTTTAAGGTTAAATAATTAATTTATTAAAAGAAATGCCAATTTTATACAGTGTTGACCGGAATTGATGGAAAACATTTCCATATTTTTCAATTTATTTAAAAATAAATTATTTGATTTAAATTGTTAAAATAAAATATTTATATATTATCACTAAGTTAAATAATTTATCTACAAACTAATTAAAAAATATGGCAATATTTTGAATTAATCTGCACAACACTGTAAATCATGTTTACATAAATTACAATTTAGAAATTTGAGGTTTTTTTTTATCTCTTGCTTTTAGGCCAAATAATTTGTCCTTTTTATGTCGAATTACGATTACATTTTGTTTCTGCTAATAATCATAATGACACTTTGTGTATGTAATAAAATGATTAATTTAGTTTATCGATTTTTTAATAATATAAAAACTTATTTTTAAGAATGTTTTTATTTTAAACTTTATAGTTTACGTATACTTTAGAGCTTAAGTAATAACTAAAAAATAATTTTTTTTTACAAATCAAATAATATTTTAACAAAGTTTTTATACATTATAAATATTTTCTTTATTATTTTTTATTTTTAGACCCCATCTCGGATTAAAATATTTAATATTTCTTAAAAAGAGAAAACCTCAAATCCTTTCGTAGTAATAAATAAAATGTTATTAACTCCATCGTTTAACATGGAGAAGTACTTTGCCTTTCAAGATCCTTGCAACTCACTTCCATTCTTTTACTCGCCTCCACTAGAAAATTTAAATATGCAAACCTTTTACAATGATAATAATAATTATCATCATAATACCCTTACCCATAAATTCGGCCAGAACGAATTAAAAATCAAGACTTACGAAAAATTTAACTCACCTTCTAAACAAAATCGTAAAATCAGTAGTCTAAATAACAAAGATGTATCCTCCGATCCTCTTCATCTAATGAAATATCACCACGAAGGAGACAATGTGTTTAGACAAAATACATCCATCCCATATCCTTACTATTTATATGCTCCCTCTGGATCTTCTATCCATAATTCTTACCATCATCCTCCTCCAACAATCTACGGACCTAATAGGAAAATCTCTACCGATAATATAAATTCCACGGTCGTTAAATCTAATTCGTCAAGTATGGACTGTTTTGGTAAATATTATTCACCACCTACACCTCCCTCCTTAAAATCGCAAGAAATGCAATATATGCTTCCTTCGAGCAGTACGTGCAAGCCTAGTCGTTTAGATATCCCATTTTCGAACTCAAACATTAAAAATACTGCATTCATTTATCCATCACCGCCTATAGAAAATAGGACTTGCAAACAAAACACCTTGAATATTTCACTCGATCTCAATAAACAATCTAATGATAAATCTATGGCATCCTCATCACCTCAAAAAATGAAGTTTACAATAGAGAGCCTGATTGGAACGGGAAAGGATACATGTAGTAACGTGGCCACATCCGAAGAAGAAACTATTTTTAAAAATTCTCTTTCTTTCCAAATTATCAAACCAAGGACTCACTCCTTCAACAATAACTATAGCTCTAGTACTGAAAATAATTTTAATAATACTTATCATAAGATGGTAAACTTCGATCTAGAGAACAAAAAATGCAAATCCATTGTTAAGCAACGACTACATTCTAAAGGTGGTTCATATAAAAAACGATCAGAATTGCCCCCAACCTCGAATTTCATCATAAATAAATTGAATATGGCGGAGGAAGCTAGTTCATTTCCTTTCGAAGATGAAATCCAAAATCTTATTTCTTCGATAAATACATCCACAACTTTTGACCATAATTCTGCCCCCTTTTCTTGTAGTTATAACTCCTTCATGCCCATTGTAGACGAACAATCAAAACACTCTAACACTCACAATACTTTAGCCAATTTCAATGATTTATATGTTAATAAAGTTGACAGCATATCTAAGTTGAATTCAAGTGATAAAATTTTTTATGCACAGCCTTCCTCTAAACATAAAGTACGCATACAGAACAAATTAACTAAAAAACACAAAAGCAAGGTTCCGTCCACCACTCCTAAAAAGGCCTATAAAAGCCCCTCAAAAATCTTACCAAATTCTGCGTTTGATAAGAAACAAGGCCGGCGATGCAAATGTCCAAATTGTGTCGAGTTTTCCAAATCCAAATGCGACCGTTCTAACAACTTACAAATATCATCTATCATAAACCCAAAGGCTTCTAGCAAGCATGCGTTTTCTTTCTCGCGTGATAATATATCACATTTACCTCCCCATTTGAAGAAATACCATGTGTGCCATTTCACTGACTGCGGTAAAATTTATGGTAAGACTTCACATCTTAAAGCTCATCTCAGGTGGCATTCTGGGGAGAGACCCTTTGTTTGCGATTGGCTATTTTGTGGAAAAAGTTTTACCCGTTCAGACGAACTCCAAAGGCATGTCAGAACTCACACCGGGGAAAAACGATTTTCTTGCCCTGAATGCGGTAAGAAGTTTATGCGGAGCGACCACCTGAATAAGCATTCTAAAACCCACAAAATCTCAGATGCTATTACCGAAAATGACGATTCCCTTCCCTCTAATAGTAGTATTAATCATAACGTTATTAAATATAGAAGCACTTTTCTTGTCAGTTCTAGTGAGAATGATGACGATAATGATCATATTAAAAATGATATGGAAGAAGAAACACATAAACGGGATGAGGAAGGAGGCAGCTCCAATATTATATACAAATTAAATTCGATAGGCAGTAAAAATTGTCCTTTCGATTTCGAGTCCGATAGGGATAACACATCGATATGCGCTACTTGTTGTGATGAAGATATGACCGTTGATGTAGAAAATCTATAAAATAATAAAAGGGATCGGGTTTTTTTTCTCTAAATTTCTTAAGAATAATACACTCAAACTCTTCATTTTTCTTTCATGAGAATAAATTTCACATAAATATTTATTTGTAATCAGTTTCTATTATGACCTTTGGATTTTATTTTTGCAGCTTTCAGTTATATATCTATCGATTTTTTCCCCTCACATTTATATATTTTACTTAAATGTAGTAGTTTTTATAGAAAATAAATACTTTTTTGAATATTATTAATTTAATATCTTATCTAACTGTAAACAAAAATTTTTTGCTTACCAACAACGACTGAAATATACATGATAATAAAATATTATATTTTTACAGACATACGCCAGTCAAAAACTGAAAACAATTTTGATTTATCATTAAAAAAATCGTTATTTTTTCTTTTGCCTGTTTACCAAAAATAAAATTTATAATATCTGCAAAGACGCATAAAAGTTTGGAATTTTAAATATTACACTATTATATAAAATAAATGATACCAACTAATTACAAATTCATTCTAATCACATAATGAAATCCATACATTCGCATATTGAGTCTCATAATTTTTTTCATTTATTTAAACGTATTCTTAAAATGTATTTTGTTAACCTTTGTAAAAAAAAATCTTTTTTTTCCTTATCGCAGTTATCAAAAAAAACAGGGTGTATAATTTTATTCTAAAATATAAATTGTTAAAGCTCAAATTAACATTATTTTTTAAAACTTTTATAAATATATTATTTATTTTATAATATGTTCCATAAAAAAATGATATAATTATTATATACTTCTTTTCAATAAAACTTATATTTATATTATAATATAGAAGAATTGAGGAAGTATTATATATAAATAAAATATTTTCTAGATTTTTAAACTTGAGGACTCACTTTTTAATTTATATTTAAATAGACCAAAAATATAAATTTAAAGAGGGTTCTCCAACATTTTTAAGGTATCTAAACCACAGCCCCTTTAACGATTCTTCTGACAAATATCATTATAACATTTCCCAGGGGATCAGAAATTGCGAAAAAAAAACTTGAACATTTTTTTCCGGATCCTTTTTCTCTTTAAGGTCTGATACAAATCCAATTTTTTTAAATATTGTATTGTACGATATTTCAACGAAAGCGAAAAAAATCTAAACGAAAAATAAAAAGAACTTGTGTTATTCTTGAAAAGAATATTTAAAAAATACTAAATAAGTTAAAATTTAATCAAGATATAAGTCCGGTCCAGTCCAAAATTAAATTTTAGGTCCCAAAATTTGACCAAGTCTGAGATAAGCTCTAATATAAAATAAATTAGGATATAATTTTTATCATGATTTCCTCCCTTTGCCTCATAACAACTTTTCCTTTAAACTAATCATGATTCATGAATACTTTAAAAAAAAAATTCTTCTATTATCAAAATCCAACAAAATTTAATATAAATTATTATATTTAAATTATTATATTTAAATTATTAAATATATATGATTTAAAAAGGGGATTGAACCTATAAGTATAAAGGTTAGGTTCATTCGTGTTCTTAGTTTAAAATGTTAAAAATGTTTCGCTCCATTTAGGTCCTTTTTAAACAAATTTATGTCTGTTCGTTACGGTTTATAAATTCATATCAATTTTTTTTGGTTCGTTTCAGTTTTTCTATGAATTTTTAAAGTTAATCAGCATATATTATTTAGCTAAAACACCTATACCTACAAAAATTCGAATCAAATATTTCCATTATATTGTATTATTTGTATTCGTACGAATAATATAAACATTATTCGATTCGAAAATTAAATTCTTTATAAAATATTAATGAAAAAATCAGAATATGGAAGAATCTATCTTTGAATATTATTTTTAAAAAAATTTGTGATTTCATCTTGAAAGATTTATTGTTCATGAGAATTATAAAAATTTACTTATAAATAAACATATTTAGAATTTTCGGTAAAATTTTATTAAAAATCTTTCTTCCTTAAAAAAATCTTCAATGATTTTTGTTCAAAAGATTTATTTTTCAAACTCTGGAAAAATTAGTTTATTAAAATTTAAAAAGTGATTTATAGATTTAGAAATAAAGTTAAAAAAGTAAAAAATTCCTTTAAGGAACATGTTAAATACTTCCAAATAATTTTAAATATTAATGAATGAATATTAAGACTTCTCTCATTGCTATACTCATTACTAAACATAGACATATATATATGGCTGGGTTGTAGTTACACCCTCATATAACTTCATATCTGGGTTACAAGGTTTGTTGGTATCCTTGAATCGGCATAATTATATGGAGGATGGGCCTTCATGTGATTCACGTATACTCTATACGTGCTAATAAAGATAAAGAATGAATTTTAATATTTACGAATAATGTCGAATATATAAGATAAATTTGGAATAATATGAAAAATAAAAATTATACTAATAATTCGATCGAATAATGCATAAAAAATTATTCGACGAATAATATTTACTTTACTAATTCGTTTTAGGCATAAAAACACCCTATGATAAAAAATATTTTCTTTTAAAAATTAAAACCAAACAAAAATTAAAGAAAATAAGTTGAATTTCTTCATTTTATTATAAAACATGCATAATAAGAGAAATAACAAATTAAGTGAAATAACCTTAACTACAAAAAAATTTGTTATTAATTTTTTTAAAAAAATATTTTATATTATGTCAATCATTTAAAATATATAAATATAATTTCAAAAAGCATAATGAACCAATTCAATTCTGTTCGATTTCCCAAATAATTATAGCCGTTAGGTCCTCCTTTCAAAATTTTTCTATATAGATTCTGTTACGGTTAGAATAATATTAACAGTTTATTTCGGTTTTGAGGTTCGGTTTGACATCCTGATTTAAAAAATGAAACTATTCAAAAGTGAATCAATTTCGCCCTGTTCTTTTAAAATTTTGTTATATTACCTTTAGCCTTTATATGTGCCCAGGGTCGTGTCTAGATTTTTGGTGGCGGCAAAAATATTTTGGGTGGCCATATTTAAAATTCTGGGCATACCTAAAACGAATTATTTGTTATTCGATTCGATTTGATTCGATTCGTATTTTACGAATATGAATATTACAATTATTCGATTCGAATCGAATTCGAATAAGGAAAATATATTATTCGTCGAAAAATTTTTTATCTATTATACCATTTAAAATAATAATATTGAAAAATAATCATATATTATTAGTAGGAATTATTTTCAATTATTCCTATTTAATAAAATTTCCTAGTGGAATAATGAATAAACATTTTATATTTCTAAAATTGTTGTTAACGGCTGTTTTTATTCCAATAACTTCATAATACTAAATTAACTTCCGAAAATTGTTTTATGATAGACGAAGAAAGTATTTATTTTTATATGCAATTTATAACACATATACAATTATAATAAACTTGTAGTAGCCATCCCGTCAAGAATGACGGGCTAACCAGATATTTCTCCGTCGTTTGTTGATGGATCATAAATTTTACTTTTTGCAAAAACTTTTTGTTTAAAAAATTTGTTGTTGGTATATTTGTTTTCTACATGATATGAATATTATATAGATTTTACTACATTATATATAAAAATACTATATATATATATACTTCATATTATCTTACTAATAAATTTGTTTGTCTTTAATTCATAGTTAAATTTTACAAAATAAATTTAATATTCTATCTTTTTAAATTTATGGTTAAATAAAATTTTCGAATTGAATCGAATATTCGACGAATCAAATCGAATAATCATTTTATTATTCGTACGAATACGAATAATGAATTATTCGATTTAAACGAATATGAATAATGAATTATTCGATTTAAACGAATACGAATAATTCTATTATTCGATTCGGAATTTCGAATTGAATATGAATAATCCAATTCGATTCGTATTTTTGTAGGTATCTGGGTTATATATATTTCCTATATTTTATTTAATAAATTTTATAAAATTACAAAGAGCACAAAATAAATGATTATTTTACGAATAAGCATAATTGCAAAATTTGCTATAAATTTATATGGATTAGGTATTGTTCAAAATCATTTTATCTTCCATGTGTTCTTGTTTGCAAACGATAATTTAATATCTTTGCTAAAGAAGTAGCGGTACCAATTTCTATGGAAATAAGGGCTAGAGAAACAAGCCGATCCTCAATCATGCAGGATTTTAGGTAGGTTTTGAATAATTCCGACTTTAAAAATTTACACTTATCCGAAGACAGATCTAGATTATTTGCAAAATTTGTAGGACTAAAATATTAATAAACGTTTGCGTAGGCAATACTATTAATAAAGTTAAATTTGTTTAGGATGATTATAGCATGTATAGATAATATTGATTATAATGTTTAATTCGATGGATCTAATTCATTAATGTCCTGAGGCATAGGCAGCGGGGGAGAGACTAATTCACACACCGCCACCCTCTCCCTAAATCCCAAAACTTTAGATACCGGCAAAAATATCGTTTTGTATTATTAATTAATTTATATTTTATAATATTCATTCCTGCTTTTGCATACATATTCTAATTTACTTCTAATTAACACATTCACAAAAGACATAAATATGCTACTAATTTATTCTATGGATTAATATCGATTTCAAACTTTTGCTTGGCATAATATTTTTCTATCATTTTAAAATTTCCCACCAAATCTTGAAACCTTTTCACTGCAAAACGAAAATAAAATATTTCAATAAAATGGCATCGATGAATTGAGACTATGAGAACAGCTTTAAGCATTGTATTGAAACTTAATAAAATTAGAGTAAATGTAGATGCCGAATTTAAATTATATGTCATTATTGAGTCAAAAGCAAAACTCTATTAATTAAATATTTGTCTGCCTCGATTCGCAGCTAGGCAAGCTATCATTCCAATATTAATATATGGTCAATTGAAGAATACTATAAAACAAATCTCTTTATCCCCCTCTTGGATACTTTCAAAACTCAAATGAATTAAAAGTTCTTGTTTGATCAGGCAGCACTTGCAAATATTATCTCCGATTCCTTTAGAATCTATTCCAAATCTTGAGAGAAGAAACTATTAAATATTTGGATTTATTGTGAGGAGTTAAAGTGTCCCATAATTAATTAGCTGAATGCAAACTAAGTTATAAATGGTAATTATGGTTGCTAATGTTCCGTAAACGTTATAGATACTCCGCATAATTTTAAAAACATTTTATATTATCTTCCTCAGGGGCGTCACTAGAATTTACAATCTCAGGGGGCTCAAAAAAAATTATTTTTAATTATTTTCAAAATCACCTTTTTTTTATTAGCTAACATTATATATAGAATTACCGTCTTTTTTAGCTAACATTATCCTAAATTTCTTTTTAAGTAAGTTATCTTTTTTTTACTGATATAAAAATAAATTTAAAATTTTGAGGGGCCCTTCAAATTTTTCAGGGGGCTTAAGCTCCTGCCCTCCCCCTAGTGATACTACTTTTACTAATATATTAAAACTATTATATATTTTGGCAACTCTACCCATTAGTACTTCTACCATTGAAGGAACATTTTTTTTCTTAAACAAAATAAAAACATACTGAGAACAGACCTGTATGGCGTGCCGCCGCTGACCTTTTATAGAGATTTCAAGCCACCACCAATTTTAAGCGCTGTTACAATGTTCTATATATGAACTATTATAAACACC